TTTTTTTTTTTTTTTTTTTAATTTCTTTCGCTCTCTCGTTGTCTCTGTCTTTCGCTTTTTCTGTCTCTAGTGCCATGCAGTTCTGGAGGATCGGCACACTCTCGCGGATGAGGCGGAAGCAGGCCACCGCAGCGCTCCAAAGACTTTCAGCATCCGGCTTTGAGTATGCTGAAAGCTGCTAATTAATCTACTGCTCATGATTCTCATGTCGAGAATGTTTTTGCCTTTGACTAAATCTGTGTACAGTTGTGAATTTAACGAACCCCTGCCAAGAATGGTTTACTCGATATCAGGAAGCACATGTAGTGGCTCTAAGTCTTTAGGTGATGATGCAACCAGCGCTAGTTCTTCTCGCGCGATTGGTGCCGGAACCTAAGGTCATTCACTCCCTCTGCTGATGCTTGATTTTGTGCATAAGAGCGGCCAGCTTCAAACGCAGACTCGCAACCGGACAAAGGAATCTGAAGCCTGCATACCAAGGTGCCCGAAGACTTAGCCCATGAAGTTGCCTTCTCTAACAGCTCCGCGAGTCAGAATGTGCAGTCATACCGACACCAAGTGACTTTTCCGTAAGCTCTCGCGCTGCCTCTTCTTGTCTAACTTGAGCCGGCCAAACTGGAAAGAGTGAAGCCAGTGAAGCCTTTAAAATCAACGTTTACAGGCTTTGGAAAGTAACCAGTGCAAAATAAATACAAATATCCCTCGACAACTGTGAGTTATGGAATGCATGAAGCATTGCTGAGGCTCAGTCGCCGCTTATTTCCGCAGTTGCCAGCCTCTCGGGTCCTTGTTGCTGCATCTTCAATCGAAACCCTTACACGCGCCTCTTTCTGAGGTGCGAGCACGCTTAGTTGGACACCTCCTGGGATGTGCGCAGCTCAGAACTTCAGCAAGGCAGCTGTTGCATGTGGGGCCTGCAGCCAAACGTAAGGCCATGATGCCGTGTCCTCTGAGCTGACAGCCGAAGAGATGCAGCTTTGGGACCTGCATAGCTCTAGTGGTCGGTTTGAGTGTCATCAACCCAAATCATGTCGGCCTGAGCACGTTTCTTGAAGCTTCACGTGCAGGATATCTTTGTCGGCATAGACCACAACTTGGCCGGGTCTCTCATGGTCAAGCTGGAGACAGCAGGCTCCGACACACACCTTTTCTTTGTTTGGTGTACTTGCACAGCGCGATCTTGCACAAGTATGCAGTGAACAAGCTTGGTGTTCTATGAAGCCTCTTTGCCTGGTTCGAGATGACCTTTGCGACGCGCTCGCGGCCATCTCCTCCAGAAACCATGCAGAGGTGACGGGCGACGGGATGCGCAAGATTGTGGAGCAGTGCTTGGTAGTTGGGGTTAAGCGTGATTGATTGAAAGCTGTTCTTTTTGCTCCACTTTCCTTCTGCTGAGCGAGTGGTCAGACTTTTTTAAACACGTTCGCTCCAGCGGCGCTGGAGCTGTCAATGACAAGACAAAAGCTTTCTCTCTTCATGCGCCTAATCGAGCCCGTTCCGATTCTGTGCTTCACGGAAAAATTGTGCTCTTTCCACTGCAGAAAAGCACGAGGCTTGCGTCAAGGCGCTGGCTGAGCGAGTGGATGACAGTGGCGAGTGTGATTTCGCTGACCTGCATTGTGCTGAGCTTCACCCTGCTTTGTCGTAAGTCTTCCTTATGAGGTTAGGGGTATTTTGTGGGTGTCGACGCTGCAAGGCTTGATGTCTGGGAATCTGAGAAGCAACCAGACCAGCTGTGGCAGTTCCGCAGCAGTCTGCGGCATGGCCCGGGACACAGACTGCCAGGTGTCAATAACTTTGTTTCATGTGCTGCAGGAGTCAGCCTAGTGACGTGATGTGCTACGTTTCAACATGTCTCAGCAAAACAGAGCGGGAAGAGAGCCGCAGGCCTGTCAAATCTTCTAGCAGGCAGGGAGCTGCGTGGTGCACAGTTGGGTCACGCCAAGAAGTGAATTTGTCTGGGCAACTGCCAGAATTCCTATTGCAACCTGAAGGTGCAGGCATCACAGAAGCAGCGTCATCTCGAGTTCCAGAAATGCGGGCCGTGGGCCTGACCAGGGAGTGACTGGCGCCCTAGCAAGGCAGTGCACGTTGGAATCTCTGCTGCGTTCCTTTGGGATGAGGCGCGTTGTGCTCGACTGTCTGACTCTGCCCTTGCAGCGTCAGCTGCGGCATACCAACGCACGTTAGCCATGAGCTTACTTGACGCTTTTGTGAACTCCTGGTGAAACATTGACTTGCTCAGGTGCTCACCTGCAGCTGGCACTGTGAGCAAAGACTCCAAGCATTCCTACTTACCAAGGCCAAACCCATTCAAATGTTTTGGTGGTGGAAATTCACAGCGCTACGGCAGGCTTCCAGAAGACGACCTAAACTGCTTACGAAGTACTAGAAGCTTACTGGAACCCTGTGGAGTGCATTGGAAACCTCAGGGCAGTCCCTCTGACCGGAGCCGCTCGGAAGTGAAGGCTGGTCTGACATGACTCCCTTCTTCTGAGAAGGCTTTTTACCACAAGTCGCAGATGGGACAATGATGATTTCCGAAAGTTTCCCAACCTTGGCATTGCTTATCCTGAAATGAGTCCTTCAAAGTATCTGGAAGGTCATGTATCACTCGAAAAGTTGGATCTCGTATTCCACTTGTGGCCAAGTGAGGATGTAGATGATGTGAAGATGCAGGCAACTGTGTGAATAACGTCTCGCACGGACACTCTGGCTGGGCTCAAGCAATATGATTTCTCCTGCTGACCTTGTCCTTGTTTGCTATCGCCCTTGCACCCAGCCCCTAACATCTTGCAGTCCTTGCTGGCGGTTCTTCGTGGCATTCACAGCGAGCTTGTCCCCACTGCCGCAGCCTCAGGAAGAACGAGCACAGATGACCGCAGCAACGAGAGGTAAGGAGAGAAATGTACCTGTGCAATGACCAATCAAACGCTCGGACAGCTCAAGAAGGGAGCAATTTTGACGCAGAAGCTCATTGACATTTTCTGTACTCAGGCGTGGTTAGGTTTCGTCTCAGGGTGTAGTCATATGTGTCCGTGCATGGGCAACGTATTCCAGGCCTTGCTAGATGGACGGCTGGGCCCGTGTCTGCCTGGGCTTTGGGGGCGCACTCCGCCATCCCTCCTTGCAGCGGTGTAGCGCCCACAAAAGAGGAAGACGACAAAAAGCGACAAGAAGGGACAGCAGCACAGAGCACTCTAGGACTCCGCGCGTAGACTGGGTTATCTTTTCATTCTGATGTCTCTGAACGCAGTTTGAGATGGCGCGTGAGGTTTTTGGTGCATCTTGCTCTGCAATCCGATGTTGGTGCAAGGCATGCAATTTCCAGACTCAGTTGATATGATAAGCACAGAATACTTTTGCATCTTTTACCCAGAGCATACCGCACTTGGACCCAACGGAAATTCACACCCTTGGGGACAGATGCAAAAGCGCCAACTCGCATGAATGGCCCGAGCAATGTTTGTTCGAAGAAATTGGAGTGGCGTTTGCATGTAGCCCTGGGACTCGCAGCAGTTTTTGCCTGGATGACAGAAATCATGGAAACGTGGAGGCCGTGCCCTGCAAGCCACGAAGCTTCGCGCCTGGTTTCCTACGTGAGAAGAATTTACATGGCCAAAATTTTCTGACGTGGACGGTCGCAAAAATGTAGTTTGCTCTGCCAGCTGTGCCGGGCCTCTCACGACTGGGATCGGCGGCTAAGAATGAATTGTAGAAACAAAGCTGGCAAGTGCCCAGGACCACTTGGTTGACGTGAAACGCTTCGCCTTGGCTGTGAACTTGTTTCACAGCTTGCTCCCGCGTTTGGCCCCGTCTAAAAAGCGATGTGTCGTGTTGAACTGGAGCGCGGGTTGCCTGAATGACGCAAAGAGGTGCGAACTCTGCGTGCTTGCCTCTGCTCATTCCCACGGCTGTCCTTGGTCATCAGGACAGCGTCTTGCTTGTGAGTTTTTTGTGCGCCATGCCTTGTGAACGCAGAACGGTGGATGCAGAACTTCCACCTGTCCTGGAGCGTGGTGTGCCTTCAGGCGCTCGGCGCACGATCCCACTGTTTGGGGTGTGGCGCGCAGTCTGGTCTTGCTCATTGGAGTGCTGAAGGTGTCAGGGTTGTTGATGCGCCCGGTACAACTTATAGACTGATATGTAGACTTTTGCTTTGCGTGTTGGTGGCCCGGGGCTTGGAGGCCTCCGCATGGGCCCGAGTGTGCAGCAGGAAGGCTTGCAGCAGGGCAGGCGTTGCGACTCACTGTGGGGCACTGCAGGAGGTGTTGGAGTCCCTGTCGTGTGAGCCCTCCAAAACACATCTGCCAGGCAAGGCAACAAGACAAGATACCAAGGACATTCCCTCTTGGCAGCTATTGGTGGCCCTGTGCCGCTGCGAATTTTGGTCCGCGTTACACAGAAGAGGTTCACCGGGCAGCCACATTTTTTTGGCACTCTACTGCGACTGGCTTTGGCTGGGAGTTGCTTGCCTACAGTACTTACCTGTCTGGTGTTCGCATTGGACGTTCCATGAATTTGATTGCCCTCCGGGGAGGAGCGGAGGGGTTTCAAATTTCTCGGCGGGAGTTGACCCGTTTATAAATATCCCCGGGTAGTGCGACCCAACGCGAAAGAGTTGCCTGGAGAAAGCGTTTGCTGATGAGGGGAAGTCTTGCTTCTGCTGGATGCTGGCTTGGGTGACGCACAGGGAAGAACAGTCTGCTAGACGATGCATCGTCGCTGATTTCTTCGATGAGTTGCATGTGGCGGATCGATGTGGTATGGGTGGCGTTTGCTTGTCACTTGCTGTGGTGGATTAGGTGACAGCCTCTTTGCTGGTCACTTCAAGGCCGCGTGGACCCGAGGGACCAGGCTGCCAGAGGACAAACATCAGCTTCTGATGATGGCGTTGGCGTGAGAAGCTGGCTGTTTGAAGTGGTTTGTGTTGTTTGCGCGTTCTGCGACACTTCACCGGCAAGTGGCTTCAGGGCCTGTACAGCAACAAGCTCCACGGTTATCAGTAGATGTTGGGTGGCAGTTATTGGCAGTGCACCGCAGGGCATGGTGTGCCAACATGGACTTGGCACAATTTAGACCGGGCGATGTCTGTTGGTTCTCGTGCTTCTGCCGGGCGCTTGCCTAACTGGAAATCGAGGTGGAGCGGGCTAGAAGCTGGGTTCTTTGCGCTGTGACAGTGTTGTGACGATGCCCGTGTGGTCGCAGAGCATTGCGTCTAAGGTCTTTGGCATTGCTGTGGCGCACAATCAGAGTAGATGGGCTGTTACAGTGCGGCAGACGGATGTTGAATTTTGGGACAAGACTGGCTTGCGATGTGTGCCAGTGCTGGATGTGTAAGTATATGATGTATATGATTGCAGGCATTCGGCACGGCTTGTCATGGCTTCTTTATGCTCTCCTGCAGGTTATCGCCGCCACACTTGCTTTGTTTGCTGGGTTCGACCAGAGTCGAGTATTGCTCCAGCAGTTGGATGTTGCCAGTGTGTGCTAGCTCTTCATGTTGCGACGAGTGTCCCAAGTGTGCGTTGACGTGGCAGCGTCTGGGCCATGCGTTAGTTGGAATTGCGTCAGTGCACCCGGGCCGGACACTTGTGGCAGCGGCTGTGTTTTTATTCGGATGACCACCAGGAAGTGCATGCCGGTATTATCCAGTACTTCATGATTCACGGCTGCTAAGTGTGTGCGTGTGGATTGGGTGGGCAATCGCTTCAATTACATGTGACGTGCATGTGGCTGCTTTTGAGCTTGTGCTTACGCAGCATTGCCAGAAATGTCCACGTGCACGAAGTAGCCTGAGAATGCACGTTCTGTGCAAGAAGGATGTGGGACACCTTCCGAGAGTGGCAGCAAATTCAACGGGGACCTTTACCTGGCGGTGGTTCCTGTGGCACAGGAATTTTCTACCGCGGGCTTCACATCATTGGCATTGTTTTTGGAGCGTACTTCTTGCAGGTTTCGACCTTTGTCAAGGGTGCTTTCCCTGTCTTTCCCTTCCTTAAATTTTTCCTTCGCTCTGAACTTCATGTTGCGACGCAGTGAAAGGAATGACTAAGTTGGAGGGATGCAAAATCTCCGGGTCAACAATGATCTATATTGTACCTCCTCAGTCCTGGATGAGACCGCTACCTTGAGTCCCTCGGTGCCGCGGAGGCCAACACGAGCACGAAAAATACGCCCAGAAAGGGTGCTACGAAAACCAGACTGGGTGGAGCTGAAGGTTGAACTTGCTGTTCATGCCCGCTGCAGTTTTGAGGCTTGCGAATCGACAATTTCTGATCCTATCGCCAACAGCGTAAGGGTGAAAGTTGAGCCTAGGGAAGGGGGTGGGAGTAGCACAGAGCATGAGGTGCTCAGGACGCGACTGCATGGGTTGGTGAACAAGCTTGTCTGAAGGTTGGGGAGGCTGTAATGTCAGTGAGTTACCAAAGCCAGGAACAACTTGTGGACGGTCATCTTGAAGTTGCGCAGTGATTGAACGACGATCGCGTCAGTTTCCGGTGAGTTGCAAATGACCTCGAGTGTTCCAAAAATGTCTGGCTTACAGGCCAAGACTTCCAGTTTGGGAGTTCTTCACCATCTTTTTCCGTTTATCTATGTGCAGTCCCAAACGGAACAGTTCGATCGATCTGAAACTTCTTGTCAAGATGTTTCAAAAGACCTGAAGGTCACGAAGGAGAGGGCTCCAGAATGTTTACCCCAAACAACTTGGACGATGGCAGAGATTCTGGCTGTTTTGTTAAAGCAGATAATTAGGGCTCGTCTTGCTGGGTAGAAGGTTTTCTATGTTGCAAGTCCATCTCTGAACTTTGCGGTGTAAATCAATCATGCGTGTTTGTGCATCCTCACCAAAAAGCTCTTGTGTTTGTGGTCTCAGGAGCGTGTGCTGTGGGAGCTCATGGGCCAGCAGCAACAACTCTTTGATGGTACGGTCGGGAAGGAAGAGGCCAGGATGAGATGATTGCTATCTGAGGTAGTTTAGAGGAGCGCTGGGCCTTGTTGACCTGTTTTGCAGTCTTTCTGCTGAACCTGTGAGATTTGGCTGCTGGTCGCACACTGTGAAACTTGCATTCTTGGGTCTCTGGGCTTGCTGTCATTGTAGTGCGCATCTTTCACGAGGAGATTTTGTAGTGGTTAAGCTTGCAGTTTCTTAGTTGAAGCAACGTGAGCAGGTGCTTTCAGCTCTGGAGGAGCTTTTGGGCGACCTGCGACGTGCTTGTATGTGGATCGTGTTTCCGTGTCCAGGAAGCATATTAAGTGTGGGGTCTGTTTCGCGAAGCAACTGTTTTTTGGGTACGAGTTCTAGGCTGCCACAGCGAGACCTCAAGCACCTGTCTGACGGTCTTTGAGGACGAGCACACCTTGAATCAAAATTGCAAATCCACCAGCCCTTGGGGTTTACAGCCCAAGCGCCGCATATTCACAGTTGCCCGACGCAGGCACTCAAGTAGAGGGTTGCTTCGAGTTCCACTTTCCCACTGAAATGATACATTGTCCCTAAGCAGCTAGAGCGTGGGTCACGCTCCATCAGATTTGCTCATCGCCATGCGCACATTTGAACGCATCAGAGAGATGGTGGAATCTCTTCCCACTTGGCACTAGAACGTGTTTTTGCTGGCATTAGCACCTGCGTGAGTCTGTTCTGCATGCCAGGCTTTCACGAAGAAGACTCCCGAGCTTCACCTGGAGAGCTTGAGGATGGACTGGCATGCTTTCTTACCTGAGCGGAACAGCGGTGCAAGAGGGACAAATTACGTGCACATTCTTCGGGTTGCACAGCAGCCGTTCTCAGGTTTGCCCTACAAATCACGGCGGATTTGTCACCTCCTTCTTGATGAGCATTTACTTGCTGAGAGCAACAAGCATGGGTTTGGGCGGGCAATTGCAAGAGTTCTTTCCTTTCTCGAAGGCCAGTAGTTTTTTGACTGGAAGCCCATCTCAAACCAGCTATCCAATGACTGTGCACGGCGAAGAGCGTCGCTTTTTTCCTGTGGTTGTTAAGCAAAAGCAACCCTGAACATGTTGGCAAGCCTGTGCGGCTGTAACCTTTTGGAGCAGATCTTTTCAGTCTGTTTTGCTGTTTTTGTGATACATCCCAACCTCCTCAAAACCATCCGCAGAAAGATGGTTGAAAAGAGTGGATATTCATAAACATGGTGACGGCGCCCCTAAGGGGCCGTGCGTTTAAACACATTTTTCTGATTGGTTTGGTATGGCGGATGCCCGAAACTGGCCAACTATGCGCATTCTGTAGCTCGAAGGCTGTTAAGCGGGTTCGCGAAGTGCTAGAAGCGGCGAGAATCTTTTCGATTTTTTGCGTTTCACCATGCGTTTAGTGCGATTTGGAA